GGGCAGATTGGGGGGGGGGTGCATCTGGGGCTATGGATGGGGGACAGGGCTGGGCCAGGAGAGGATGGGGCTGCTTGGAGAGGAAGGAAGCAGGAGTCCCTGTGAAGTTTTTCTTGACCAGTTACCGCCACCCCTGGGCCTAGTCCCCAGCTACCTATAGACACTCTCACGTGGCGGGGATGTATGGTCCGCCCCAAGCCTGCAGAGCAAGACATGGGCTGTAAGAACTGGAGGGTGAGGAGCACCCTGCATGGAGGGAAGGGGGACTTCTGCTTCGAGAGAGCAGGCTGTCTAGTCACCCTGGGGAACACATGGTGAGAGCCCAGAGGGGACACCCACCCCCCCACCACCACCACCCCACCCCCCACCCCCCCCACCACCACCGAGCCCAGAGATTACCGTGCCACCACCACCACCACCACCCCCACCCCCCGACACACAGAAGAAGTGTCCAGTCGGGGAACAGGCAGGCCGCAGTCACAGGGAACTGGCTGCAGAGCCTGAGGGCCAAGGCCGAGCCCTGGAACACTGTGAGCCTGCCCTTCCTTGTGCGTGGCCAGTGTGCTATGGGTTGGCACCTTCCTGAAGCCGGAGAGAAGGCTTGCCATGCCCAGTGCTGAGACAGTCGGTGGTCCTGGGACCTCATGGCTGAGGTGAGGCACCAGGCCAGGCAGTTTGAATCAGGGGAGAGCTGTGGCTGCCTCGGCTGGCCCAGGGGATGCTGGGCAGGGGTGGACAGGATGCCCTCCTCTGTCTGCCTCTGGGTGGGAGGGTCTGAACACAGAGGCTAGGGGTGAAGCCCAGGTCATGGTAAGGATTCAGGGTTGGCTGGTTAGGTGCCCCTGTGAGTCAGCTGCCAGTGAGCTATCTTGAGTTGTGCCACCGTGTGTAGCTGACCAGTCCAGGGGGCGGATGCATCTGTTTCAGCTGGGATTGCCTCCACTCATTGGCCCAGCTCATCGCAAGCATCCTAGGGAGCAGAGACCCCACCCCCATGGCCCAGCAGGAGGGCCCTGTGAGCTCACGAGGGATCTTCAGGTCCCCTGGCACCACTCCCTGGCACCCAGGTCCTTCTTGGGATGCCCAGGCTGTGTGTCCTTGCTCTGGGGCCATTGCTTGTGGACTGGGCCACCCAGAGTGGGACTGTGGCCGGTGGTCCTTCTATGAGTGGCCTCCTGTATTTCCAGAAATGTCATGATTCGTGCCTGAGGGATGAGCTGGACCACTGAGGGGGGCGGGTGGAGTGGGGGGTGCCAGTGTCTTGGGCTGGGGACCTCTGCCTCTGCTTGAGTCTGTCCACGAAGAGCTGTTCCTCCCACCGCCTAGAGCTCACGCCTGGTAACCAGGTATGAAGGTGTCCAGCTTCTGGCTCTTAGTCCTGCAAGGCATCCCCAGGTCACCCCCGGGAATCGAGAGGCCCAGGACAGTGAGACCCAGGGGCTGAGCGGAGGTTTGGGTAAAGCCACGTGGCAGGCTTTACCATCTTTCAGGCAAACCACATAGACCCGAGGGGGAAGGGTGGGGGGGTCTTCTCTAAAGCACAGCCCTGTCCCTGCTGATGTGGAAATGCTGGCTGTCCCCAAAGCCACCCAGAATCTCAACCCTGGGCTCCAGGGACCGCAAAGATCCTGGGAAGGGGGACACGCTGGGCACAGGACCCTCCTTGCCCCCACCAAGGCTAGGATCAGCTCCCAGAATTTCTGGGGATGGTCAGACTCCTGGTCTCAGCAGGATGGCCTCTCAGTTGGCACATAACACAACCCCCCTCCCCAAGTCCCAGGGCAGCTCTCCTTCCTGAAATAGCCCCGTGTTCAGCCTGGGCACGTGGGTTTCCCAAGCGCTGAGATAAGGCCGTGTTGATGCTGGTCCCATGGTGGGAGCTGGAGACAGGTGCCCTCTCGCCAATGCAAACCCCCAACGCTGGTACGCCGGGGTTATGAGAGGCCTTGGGATCGGGGAGCCTCATCTTCCTGCAAAGATTGTGTGTGTGTGTGTGTGTGTATGTGTGTGTATGTAGAGGGCAGGCTGGTGCCTGAGGCTGGGGCTGGGGCTCTCTGCTCCTGATGGCATCTATGTGTCACCCCTGTCTCTGCCCCCAAGTTTCTAGAAGTTCAAGAATGGGAGGCCGCTGGCTGCCTTGGCATGAAGGGGTGCTCTTGCCCCACGTGAGACCCAGAATGGAGGGGGCGCCCTGGAGGGAGGGATGGGCAGACAGGTGGAGAAACCCGGCAAAGGAGGGAAGATATGGATGGGGCGTGGTGTCTGGATGGATGGATGTGAGATGGAGGGAGGGAGGGAAGGGTGGGCTGTGGACAGAAGATGTAGTAAGGAGGGAGGATGATGGAGGTAAGGAGAAAAGGTCAAGTAGGTGATGGATGAAGGGAGCGGTGGGTGGGTGGGAGGATGGAGAAATGGTAGATGGGTGGAGAGAAGAAAGGTTGGGCAGGTTGATGGATGAATGCATGATGGGAGAGGTAGGCGGGCAGCTGGAGAGA